CCTCCACCCTGCCTGCCTACAATATGCCTCTTCACGCCTCGTTTGAAGGACCCCATATCATAAGAGGGAGGGAAGACATGTGCCGGAAGGGAGTTCCATTTGGAGAATACATCTTTTTAAAATAGAAACTACAACCGATCCTTATCCGAACCGATCATTATGAAGATGGCATAGCGTTTACCACGGACGTGTGTTTAACATAATGGCTCTTTAAATATAATGAAATGTGAGTCACGTGTATAAGTTTTTGTATTTGTCACTATTGTTGCAAGGGGTAGCTGACTAAAAAGGTTTAATAAAACAAAAATGAAAATGTTTACGAAAATGCTTTATTTGCATTAGCTTTGACGCGAGTTTGCCGGAGGTAGAAGTCGTGCTGGCCTGCGATCCCATAAGTGATGACCATATAAGATTTCATTTTTTTTTAAATTTGAGTTTTGAAAAACAAACTCCAAGCTGTGTCTTGAAATTATACAGTCCATAACTGCATGTCACTATTGGCAACAATGTACAGCAATTAGCTCCTTTAACATATTTATGAATTAATACAAAATTTGATGAGCAGAGAAACATCAAAACGACCATTGTAGCATGCTGATACTAATTTGATTAAAAAATACTATGTAAGTTTGGTAAAAAATTGATACAAAATACAAATTCAAAGTAATAAATATGTGCATTGTACTGCTGACCACATATGGATGCCAGTCATGGTCGCTTACTAAAAAACATTACAAAAAACTCAATCTTAGTCAGAATAGTAGGGAAAGAAGTGTGCTCAACATAAAATTGAAAGATAAAGTAAAACTATCTACAATTAAAAACAAATCAAAGACTGAAAAAGTCACACATAACAAATAGCAAAAATGGCATTGAACAGGTTGAACAAATGATAAGAGAAAAAATTGATAAGTGGATATTGCTGAATGGTACCCAAAGGGAGAGGGGAAAAAGAAAGATAGGGAGACCATACTTTAGATCAGAAGATGATTTTAAATACCTTGTTGGAGGAGCATGAAGGCAAACGGGAAAAGATAGGGAGAAATGGAAATCTCTGGAAGAGGCCTATACCTTGGGACAAGCTGAAAGTGCAGAGTCAAAAAATTTGTGTAATTTATAATAAGTACAATGTCATACAATATTTCTGTGTTAGATAAGTTAGTATGTAAGTTATCAGCAATAAAGGCTATAAATAAATAAAATTAAAGTTTGGTGAATTCTGGATTATGGCAAGCACAAAACAACTGTTACAACAAAGTTTTTTGGCAGGTTCACAGTACCACCCTTATGGCACTGTGAACCTGCCAAAAAAGCTTTGTTGTACTGTTGCAATACTACGCAAATGTTACGCGCTCAAAACCCGCACAAAAATATTAATAGTTTCCTTTGTGACGTCACGCGCACGATTCACAAATCTAGTACAATTAATTCCTTTCATCAGAAGCTAATAAACTGCTCACCTACCAACTAAAGCACATTTATGTATTACCTTGATTATGTTGGCTTTGTGTTGTCGCAGCAGATCCAAATGGTGCGGAATAGCAACTTCATTGAATTTCGTCAATGAAAGTTCCACTCGCTTCAAAGGTAATTTGTTATCCTCATCCATGATGTACACTAAGTTTAATTAGATGGCAAAGAAGGTAAAACTATTGGTTTCGGTAACATTTAAAAAATATTTGCCACTTTTGTTTTGACAATCATCTGGGTCTTTTTTTTAAATAGTTTCACGGCATCGGAATAAATCCTTCAAACCAAATCTTCAATTCGTGGGTCTTTTTCTTTACCCTTTTGACAACATACTTTTCGTTCGGAATTTTTTTTATTCCATTTTAGAGCCATCAGCATCACCCTAAACAAGTTACAATTATTAATAATAAAGAAACTCCAATGATCATCGTCGTGTGTCAGCGACGATTTAGCCGATGTCGTTATTTTTCCGGAAAATTTGTCAAAAACTTGGAAAAATATAACTTCGAAGGCTCACATCACGTTTTACGTTCTAAGCCATTTAGTGAAAAACGACCCTTCGTATTCTAGAACTCTACTCATTGCTCAAGTCAGGATTTGAGTATGGTTTAAAGCACTCGAAATCATACTCAAGTCCTTCCCATTAGGGTCGTATTTCCAGTGCTTGAAATCATACTCAAGTCTGCTCAAATCTTGACTTGAGCATTGAGTAGAGTTCTGAAATACGACCCTTAAAATTATTTCAATACAGTGAAAAAAAAACCCTTTGGCTCCATAGTTTTCGTTCAGTAACTTTTGACAGATGTCAACGTCAAATGTGGAATTGAGGAAAAATATCCGGAATAATCATGGAATAATATTTATTTTTGTGAATAATTAAAATTTTTCAAAACGGAAATTTTTCCATGACCCAACACGTCTTGCCTAACCCATATGATTAGGACCAAATATAGAGAGTATAATCTTAGGACCTTAGAGGATGCAAAAAAATGTAGGTCCCTATTCTAGAGGTTGACAACTATAATAGGGTGAATTTCACTTGCCGAATTTCAATGGCACTTTTTGAGTGATTTTGTAAAACCCTTCTTTCTTTTGGTTTTAAAGTCTTAAACCTACAAGTAAGTTCAAGCAATGTCATTACAAAATCACAGAAATATTACAAAATTTATATAAATACAACAAAAAACGATATTTTAGGTCACACGAATGAGATTGCAGCAATACGAATGATTATCTCATAAACATAAATGAGAAAGACGGCACAGTAATAAGAAATTATTATTACAACACACATTTTATTGTTCACAAAAGAACATTTAACAACATTTAACATGTAGCAAATATTTTAATATAACTTTTTGTATCAAAATCCTTCTCATCCTTGTAAGACCTATCTATATGTAATTAATAAATAAATCTGAAAAAGTATTTTGTTAATGTCATATAAACTTTGTTGTACATCAATATATCATCATCACCACCATCAACATCATCATAATCACCATTAACATCAGCATCATTACCATTCACATCATCATCACCACAATCATCGTCATCATCACTACAATCATCATCGTCATCATCACCATTATCATCATCGTCACCACCACTATCACCATCTGATTGTTATATTTTAAGTAAATGTTTGGCTTAAAGCACTTATTAGATTTAAAAGTAGACAAGAATGAGAGCGACAATAATGATATTTGGATATATTTTTAATTGTCAAGCGTGTAAAATATGCTGGACCGTTGTAAAAGTGCATGGATTTTAAAATTCCCTTTGTCTAATTGATGTTTAAAAGTTTATGAAACTATTACTTAATACTTATTTAGATAGATTGCTTTACATGAATGAGAACGATTTAGTCACTAGCGCTGAAATTGGTATTTAAGTCGATTTTTTGCTAAAACGGAGATGCACAGGTTACTTCACTGTGTACATTCCAATCCGAAAGGAGCCCCTTCTCATGTGTGCGAAGGGTGAAGGTGATGCGGTATGAACTTTTGTTATTAAGAGGCTTTTAGTTGAATTGACACTAATGATAAGAAAAATTGAAATACATTTTGTATTCCTAAGAAAACGTGTTTGTTTATAATAAATTGGAAAGTTACGGTATATATTCGACGTGTAAGTTATTAGAGTTTATCCTCGACGGGAAATATTGCGATTTCCTCGAGTGCCTAATTTTTTTTCTTCTTTTCTTAAAATTAGGGCGACGTGGAACCGGCTCCCATGAATGAGAAATTGCCCACTTTTTTCATTTATTACCTACTGTGACGTAGTAAAGTAGTTCAAATTCAAATTCAAAATAATCTTTATTTCATAGGTAAGCATTATTACACTTGAAATCGTCACAATAGTTACACTCTACCGCTCATTCCTAAGGCAGATTCCCCTGAGAAGAATGATAAAGTTTTTGTTTTAAACCTCGTGAAAGGCAAATTTTGTATATCAACCGGAATCTTGTTATAGAAGCGTATACATTGCCCCTTAAATGATTTTTTGACTTTGTGAAGACGACTATCAAGAAAAGCTAGTTTATTTCTATTCCTCGTATTAATGTTATGTCTGTCACTATTTTTCATAAATAAATTACTATTCCTTTTAACATAAATTACATTTTCATAAATGTACTGTGAGGCTGAAGAATGTTAATTTCATAATTATTAATACAAAGATCGAACACTCAGAAAAAATTCCTTCGACCCGGTCGGATTCGAACCGACGTCTTCTTGCATACCGTGCCAGACGCTATACCAACTAAGCCACGGAACGAACCAACGGACCTCACGAATTTCTCTATGTGCTTGCGTCGTGTCTTTGTACTTGGTTTTTCAACGACTTTTTAGTCGTAGCGCCATCTATGAGAAATCTTTGACAGATTTATCACCCAGTTAGGTACCTTTACAGCTACCAGTCCTGTATTAATAATTATAACAAACTAGTGGAGTAATTTCACAAAAATAATTGAATATCAATTCAATAAAAATTTAATTAATGTTAATTTCCTTAAACTTATCTCTCAAAGATACTTTGGGGCCCAGATTGTAAATTGCCCTAACTGCATGTTTCTGCAGGACAAAGATTCTATTGATATCAGCGGCATTACCCCAAAGCAAAATGCCGTATGTCATTAGACTGTGAAAGTAGCTGAAGTAAACCAATCTAGCGGTTTCGACGTCTGAAAGTTTCCTTATTTTTTTAATCCCGTACACTGCAAAGCCGAGCCGTTTTGATAACTTACTTATATGGGGACCCCATTGCAATTTAGCATCTAACGTTATACCTAGAAATACAACTGTATCCACAAGATTCAATTTTTCGTTTCTAACTACAATGTTTGTAACCGTCTCTCTAACATTGGGTAATGTAAATTTCACACAATTTGTTTTTTTCTCATTAAGAAGTAGGTTATTAACAGCAAACCAATCAACTACTTTAGATATAGCATTGTTCACATCGTCATAGGAACATTGGTGCCTTTTAACTTTAAATAATAAGGAAGTATCATCAGCAAACAATACTATCTCATGTTTTATACCCTCCATAAGGCTAGGTAAGTCATTAATATAAACTAAAAATAAAAATGGGCCTAGAATTGAACCTTGAGGGACACCCATGCTAATTGCAGATCCTGACGATCTCGTACCATTAACATCGACCCTCTGTACCCTACCACGCAAATACGATTTTAGAAGGTCGAGATCACGTCCCGCCACACCATAATGGCGAAGTTTCCTGACCAGTGTATCATGGTGCACACAATCAAAAGCTTTGGAAAGGTCACAGAATACACCAATAGCGTCATGTGAGACTTCCCATGCATCAAATATATGATTAATCAACTCGACACCAGCATTGGTTGTAGAGCGACCCCGAGTGAAACCAAATTGTTTAGGAGACATTAAGTTATTACTATAAAAATATGCACACATCTGATTTAGAATAATTTTTTCAAATATTTTACTGAGAGTTGGTAGTATTGATATAGGTCTGAAATTGGTGGAGTCAGAAATACTACCAGATTTGAAAAGTGGAATAACTTTACTTTGCTTCATGAGGTCAGGAAAGACACCATCATCAACACATTTATTAAAGACACAGGCTAAATAAGGCGCAATACAATCAACTATAGAACTAATTACTCTGACTGAAAGACCATCAAGATCAGCAGTATTTTTTATGTTTATAGACTTCAAGGCTTTAACAATATCGTTTGGAAATACATGACGGAACCTTAAATTAGTGATACTAACTGCATTATTTTCTTTTAGTAAGGATTCAGCGGCGGTGGGAGATGAATTTAACGACTTAGTAGTCAAAATTGGAATGTCAGTAAAAAAAATTTCAAATATTTTAGCAACTTCTGCGTCTGTGTTTACAATTTTGTCATTAAATCTTAGTTGAAAATCTAAGTTACGAGGTTTGACCCTTCCAGTTTCGTAGTCTTTTTATGTGTAACACAGACTAAGTAAGCGAGCAATCATATTAAATAAATAATGCTTAGCATTAATTACTATTCTAAGGTATTTATGTAATAACAAGGTAATATAACATAAAAGTTATTGGAAGGGACACATTTTTGGAGGATATCTGAAAACGACCCAATAAAGAATGAAAGTGAATGAATGAATGAACACATAAGTCATCTTCCTCTGTAAAATTGATTTGATGTTTTTTTAATTCATTCATTCACTGTTGGGTTAATCGAGAATCGTATGTTTTAACAAAATTGTAAATCTAGTTATTTAAAAATACTTTTGTTGCTTCGCTTTGTCGATTTTATACAAGTGATTATGTATTCGTCTTGAAATTAGTGAAAAGGAATCAATTGCGTAGCAGTAAACGACAAACCGGCTGCAATGGATGTCGACACGGGTATGTTATGGTCTCTATAACCTCAACATCGCTCACTGGAAGGCTGCGCCTATGTAACGAAATTGAACCCGTTACAAACGTTGTAGTATTTTATGATAAGTCCTTCTGGCGTTAACTGAATGTATATGTTTGCTATAAATGAGAAGTGCGTTTGACAATACCTATTGTGTAATTTTTGGTATGTAGCTAGCGTATTTGGTGCACAGATACCATATCTACGAAAAATATTTCTTTTGTAGAATAATATGTATATATATAAAATATATTATAATATATATAGTTGTTTCGATGGCATACACTGCAGTGCTTACAATGCAATAGGATACTATGTGTTGACCAGACATGTTATAACAGAAATTCATTGTCTTGTACAGTCTTTGAAATATAAATATGGTGACGGTTTTTACTATCACTTGATATTATAAAAAAGAAAAAAAAAGTTGGTTTTATATATTTCATAAACGAGACTAGCTTCAGAGGACAGTTTTTCTAAATGCTTACAAAGTTTGTTAAATTTGAAGTACTACTTGTTGTTGTTAGATGACCAAATAAAAGGTTTTGAACTGACTTCAAATATAATATAATGAAGCGTGTAAGTAGAAATAATAATAATAATAAAATGAATTTTTTAGAAAGCCTTAGAATTAGTTGGATCACAAACAAATTAATGAAATCAAATTGAATCAAAATAATAAAGGGCATATCAATTGCTAGGATTATATACTTAAAACAATTAGAAATTTTAATATAGCCAAAGAATGTTGAGTAGTACAAAATGACATTCTGACCAAACCAGGTGGAGGGTAATGATGTAATTGCTTTTTTTCTTTTCCACTGTGAGAAATTGCATTTGGCACAACAAAGAGCACTGATATTAAAATGTTGTCAAGCTGGCAATTTGTTTTTTCACTGCTAAAATTTTACTATTATGTACAGCCTCAGCCAAAACTAATGAGTACCCATGGGTGCTCGTTACTTTTGACCGAGCTTACAGTTTTTTGCGGAATATGAAAATAAAATAATTTGAAACAATTTACACCTGTCAATATTACTATTTATTAAATAAAAATTAACATTTCGTAAGTGCACCCTTTGCTTTAATTACGGCAGGTTCTTTTTGGTAATAATGCAATAATTTGATTAGGGGCTTATGTCGCCCACTCACAGACAACTACCTTTGTAGAGGTTTCTTAGTTTACGATTCTATGTTTATTTATAATTATGTTTAATTAAATGCCAACCTTTCGAACCATGTTAACTGCTTCATATCAATGCAGTAAATCTCTCTCCATTTGAGGATGCACTAATCCCTCTGTAGATTAACATTTACACTGGATATTGCACCCCTTGCGCCCAGATTAATTATTTTTCTTATTTTTGTCGTATTATGACAGTTTCACTTAAAACATAATGTTGGATAATAATATGCTTCCATTCAAGTTTTTCTATACTAATTTGGTTTTCTTTTAAGGTACTCAATGTAAATTATCTTAGGTATCATATTGGTTATGAGTACTTATATTTATCTTTATATTTGTCATCATTGCTTAATATGTAGACACTACCATTTAACAATTAAATTAATTGCCCCGCTTGCCCGTCGCGTCGAGCTGGCCAGAGCTAATCGAGAGGGTTGCCAGTATTTCTAGGAACACAAAATTTTGTAATGTCAGTTAGTAGAATACGACAGTTTGACCTTTGATTCAGGTGTTTTAAATAAAAATGAAAAGAAATCAGTTGAGAACTGAGTTATCTAAGTTTCTGAATCGACCCCAGCTGTACCAAAAATCTGAAATTGAAAAAGAAATAGACTTCGGAAATATAAAATATTTTTGTCATTGAATTTTATTTTCAAATCATATTGTTTAATATCTTTCGAACGTGAAATTGTTTAACTCCCCTCAAAGTTTGACTCCTCTCACCACACAATATTTGACCAATCTTCTTCAGTGAAACTTTAATATTTGAAGGTCCATTCAAATCGAACCTTTTTATTGTTTTACGAGAGCCTTGGTTTCTTCCTGGCTTTAGCCTTTCAGGCCCACTTTCTGAAGTCTTCTTCTTCGAGTAGTGTGAGCAGAAATAGATCTTTTAATTTCGACTGAGAAATCAGCAGCGAGGTCTGAAGAAAATTTTTTCAGACTTTATTAATGACTCTCTCATTAACTTTCGGTATTCACGATATGTGGTGATGCGTTTGCGCTCCGTTCTGTGTCTGTTATTATGAGATCCAAAAGCAGCGAATTGGTCAATAGCACTAGATCACTGGACGTGTAACAATAGTAGTGAACTGAGAAACAAATACAAAAATGGTGAAATGACTTTATGGCACCAGGTGTTTTATTGCTAGTTGCGGCGTGGGGGTCACTGTTTTCAAAAGCTTTATAGGTGCTGATAAAATAATCCTTAACAATACGACCTGTTTTCTGCAATGCTATTGTGCACGTTCGGGATTTTTAGGGCGCTCAATACTTTCGGCCATGACTGCATTTGTTTGTATTATTGAATAAATTAATCATTTTTATAAAAACCAAGTGACCACAACAGATCAAATTGTCAATGTGTAAGTCCTATCATTCACTAATCAGATATCCGCCTATCCGGCCTAAGTACACGCTGGAAATCACTATCTGTTTCATGTTTAATGTAAGACAACAGCTACTTTTTGGAGGTACCATTTAGTGGTAAGATTCAGGAATGATCATGGAACTCATGTGTTTGTATGTTGTGCAGGTGGGCGGAACTCGCGCTCACGCTCTGCCTCGGTGAGTACATGTCTTTATTTCTTCAAAGTTGACCATATAATAACATTCAAATTGTACTTATGACCTTCCAAAGCACTATAAATCAATAAGTCTGAACCAAGATAATGAAATCAAACTTAAACATGTGTTTATTTCATAGGTAAACAAGTTATCTTTGAAATTGTCCTATTGATTATATTAAATGTACAACTTATTTGTAAGGTAGATTTCCCCGGGAAGAAGGAGTAAGAAATTCTAGGGATTGCTCTTCGTAATTATAAACATTTGTACACGTTTCTCATTAATATACATTCACACATCTCACTAAATAAAAAGCATTGACAAGCTCCTTTAATAGTTGTCTTTTTTAAACTTTGATTGTAAAAATGAAATGTACATTGAACAAAATAAAATAAGTTTGTCGAGTCGTGCTCTACCTACATGGCAGTTTGTCGACGTCTCACTATGGCGCAGAACGCGTCAATATGTGCTTGAATGCTTAAAGCACTACAGTATCAATGTCGCCCCGGGCCCGTTAAATGTCTTGAAATGTTATTGAAATGAAAACGTAAGGTATCGTGTGACGCCTTTGTGTTGTTTATCCAAAGTTGACAAGTAGAGAAACACCTTCAGGCATTCAAAAGGAGTATTCTAACATCTCAAGAACATTTTCTAAACCTTCTTGACATTATGTTACTGGTCATAGAGAGAGCACGACATTGTTTATCCAAATCCCCAATATTTTTTCTGTAATATGATAGAATGTGGCAAAGGTATTTGAAATTCACCTAACCTAACAGTGTAATCTGTTAAATACACAGGTGGTATTACATTTGGACATTTTCCCGTTCTGAACCACCTTTTCAGTTTATGAGCTTGGGTGTATTGTTCACATATCGAGATTAACTTCTTCATACCTTTGATTGACCAAATCTCAGCCTTACACTGGCACTGTTCAGCTCCTCGATTCTATCATTAATACGTTGAACAGGGTAGGAGAGGTCAGACCACCCTGTCTTACACCGCATTTTATTTTACAGCGGTCAGACAGGTCAGGTTAATATTAACATTGATTTAATTTAATTTAAAACTATACCACTCGACAGGCGGAGTCTGACTCGAAAATGTCCCACGACGGGTCGAAGCGCAGCTCGAGATCGCGGTCGCGTTCCAAGTCGAGCTCAGCGTCGCGTGGCTCGTCGCCGGCCAAGTCGCGCTCTGCCAGCCGCAGTCGTTCGCGCAGCGGCTCGCCGGCCAAGTCCCGCTCCCGCTCCCGATCCCGGTCCGGCAGCGGTTCGCCCGCCCACTCCCGCTCCCGCTCCGGTTCTCGGTCCCGCAGCGGTTCCCCGCCCAAGTCCCGCAGCGGTTCCCCGCCCAAGTCCCGCAGCGATTCCCCGCCCAAGTCCCGCAGCGTTTCCCCGCCCAAGTCCCGCTCGCGGTCGCGTTCGCGTAGCGGGTCGCCGCACGACTCCAAATCCCCTGCCAAGTCTTGCTCACGGTCGCGTAGCGGTTCACCGGCGAAGTCGCGCTCGCGATCTCGCAGCGGTTCACCGCACAATTCCTCCAAGTCTCCCGCCAAATCCCACTCGCGATCGCGCAGCGGTTCACCGCACAACTCGTCGAAATCCCCTGCGAAGTCGCGCAGCAGATCGCACAGCAACTCGCAGAGCAAGTCGCCTCCGCCCAACACTGCAGACGTGGAGGGCGCGGGTGACGCCCCTTTTGCCCGCGACGGATCCAGGTCTCCTTCTAGTGAGTATCGCACGTTTCTGCCGCATTAGTTGTGGCAATGACAAAACACTTTACCATTGGACAATAATGTAATTAACTTTCGTTTTGACTCGATTGCGCAAAATTAATTGATTATGAAATTGGACATTTGTGAATTTCTTGGAAAGGTTAGAGTTTTCAAAAAGTCCAATAAGTGTGACGTCATAAAGTAGCGGTTTAAATACTTAAGATCATCAAATTCGTGAGCTTTGAGGAGTTTTTAAATGTTCATTCATTTTTGGCTGAGTGAAGAACACCTTTCGTAAGTTTCTCACAGATGACTTTACCGGTCTGCAGCAAGCACGTAGAGAATTCGTGAGATCTGCTAACTCGTTCCATAGCTCTGGTAGAGCGATAGTCCCGGTTTGGCGAAAAAGTAACTGGTTCGAGTTCAGGCGAATCGCAGGAATTTTTTTTGTGTTGGTTCGATGTTTGTATCAATAACAATAACTATTGCCGTATTTTCACAAAAAATATTATGAATTGAAAAAAGAAGAAAAAATTTGAGAATTGTGCTTATTAAAAAGTCATGATATTCAATAATAAAAAATCATTATAATGAATGCGTAAACGTCTCAACTATTGAACACAGGTCTCGTGTGAAGTGCGGGTTTTAGGTCTTAGAGACAGAACTCACGAAGCGGTTTTGACCCGCGCCCGCTGCGGTTGCGGGACAGCTGTTTTATTTCAACACTCACGACACCGCAGGTTTGTGCGGTCACGTAGCCGCCGCGGTTGCGGAACGACCCGCAAACTTGGCGGGAGAGGATCGCAAGGCGCGCGGTTATTTACGATCGATCGAGATCGTCAGTTAAGTCTCCACGTCGCCATGGACTCACATTAAAAACGAGCTATCGCGTTATACTTACTTCATCGAAGAATTAAAAGAAGAAGTCTAAAAGATTCAGGGTGCATCCTCTGATTCCGGAAAGAAATCGTTACGGATTATTCGTTGTTCTTATTAATGTGTTAAAAAAACAAGAGGACAAGTTCTTTAATTTTATTCGGATGTCCGTATCTACTTATTCAGAACTTTTAAGAAAAATGGTAACTGGTAGGAAATT